AACATCACGAATGAGAGCAGTAACAACCCTACAGATTCTAAAGCTATAAAAAGATAATAAGGCCCTGGCTGGTGTGGCTCAGTGAACTGACTGGGCCTACCAACCAAAGGGTTGCCAGTTCTTTTCCCAGTCTAGAGCACATGCCTGGGTCCATGCCAGGTCTCCAGTAGGGGGCACACAAGATGCAATCACACATTGATGTTTCTCTCTTTCTCCCTCCCTTCCCCTCTCTAAAAATAAATTAAATATTTTAAAAAAGATAATAAAAGAATACTATGAACAACTTTATGCAAACAAAATCAACAACTTAGATGAAATAAAATTCCTTGAAAGGCAACTATCAAACACTCAAGAAGTAATGACCTGAATAGCCCTATACTTATTAGAGAAATTGAATTCATAGTTAAAAACTTTCTCATAAAAAAACCTTCCAGGCTCAGATGTATTCACTAAGGAATTTTAGTAAATATTTAAAGAGGAAATGAAACAAACTCTACATACACTCTTAAAAAATTAAGAACAGAACATTTCCCAACTCATTCTACGAACTGGCATTAATAGTACTAAAACCTGACAAAGACATTACCAAAAAATAAAACTACAGGTCAGTATGTCTCATGAAAATAAATGTAAAAATTCTAAGCAGACTTTTAACAAATTAAACCCAACAACCTAGAAAAAAGAATAACACATCACAACCAAGTAGGGTTCACCCCACAAATGCAAGGTTGGTTTAAAGTCAAAAATCAATGCAACTCACCTCATAAACTAAGAAAGAAAAAACAGGACAATCTCAACAGATACAGAAAAAGCACTAGACAAGAACTGATATTCATTCCTGATTAAAAAAAAACAACTCTAATTAAAACAGGAGTAGAAGGGATCCTACTCAACCGATATAAAGTGCCTCTGAAACACCCAGGGTTAAGATCGGACCCGATGCCCTGAGACTGCATGCTCTCCTCCTGTACTGAGGGTGAGACAAGGAAATCTGCTCTCACCACCTCTACTCATCATTGCACGAGAGGTTCTGAATGCAGTAAAGCAAGAAAATGAAATAAAGGCGTTCAGATTAGGAAGGAAGAAGTAACACTCCATATTTGCAGACACCATTGATGAAACATCCAATGGAATCTACCGAAAAAAGCTGCTCCTAGAGTGAGTACAGCAAGACCTCGGAACATAAGATCAGTTCACAAATACCGATCATATTTCTGTATTATACCAATGAACAACTAGAAACGAAAGTTTGTAAAAACAGTATTTACAATAACTCCAAAGTATATGAAATACTCATGGGTACAGTTTTCTGTACACTGAAAACTATAAAACACCGCTAAGATAAATTTAAGATCTGAATAAATTGAAAGATATAACACATTCAATGCTGTTAGGAAGCCAACATTTATCTACACATTCAAGACAATTCAAATCAAAATTTCCAGCAGGCTTTTTTGTAGAAACTGACAAATTGACTAAAAAATTCATGTAGAAATGCAAACAGCCTAGAATTAATACCAAATGTTGAAGCTGGGTGACGACTACATCACCACTGGCTTTTCATTATGTTATTTCCTCTTTTGTATATGTCTGAAATTTCCCACAGTGAAGAGGATTTTGTTTCCTTGTAATAGAGACTGAGACACTTTCAGGCACACATAAACACAAAATACCCTTCACTGTATCACAAAAATGGTTTCCTCCTTCAAACCACCTCGGGTCCCAGTCCCTCTCACCAGGCCTCACTGCTTCCCTTTTCTCCAGGGCAGGGATCAACCAACTACAGTGCACAGGCCAAAAGCAGCCTATGACTTATTTTTGTACAGTTCACACACACAAAAAAGAATATATTTTGCATTTTAAATGGTTGGGGGGAAAAGCAAAAGTATATTTCATAATATTAAAAACTTCCATATAGCCCTGGCCAGTGTGACTCACTCGGTTGGAGTGTCGTCCTGCAGACCAAAAGGCTGTGGGTTTGAGTTCCATCAGGACACATGCCTGGGTTGCAGGTTCCATCCCCGGGTGTGGCATGTAAGAAAGGCAACTGACTGATCAATGTTTCTCTCCATCATTACATATGTCAGCGCTACAGATGAACAGCAGAAGAACGCCTCTCCAGATTACACCTTGAGCCAGCAAAATTCGAGAAAGAAATTAAGAAAATGCTGACGAAGAGCAGGAGGAAAAGAGAAGAAAATCTGTCAAGCCAACAACTGAGACTCTCACTGACTGTGGTTAAGGAGACACTAGCAGGGAAGGGGCAGTCCCCACTTCACTGAGAGGGAGGCCTAAAAAGAGGGGCACAGCAAAGGTTCAACCGGAACAGCTCAGCTCACCAGCGGTCGTGACTCCCCCGAGCTGATACACTAAACAAGTGGCAAACCTGGTGGGCCTAAGACCCAGGGGTCACTACCATCTTCGCACACCACTGGGAAAAAGTAAGAAAGATGGACTGTATACCTGCGACTCGAGTTCCGCTTAGGAAATCCTGACCTTCTGCAGACTCAATTGTTTCACCTCCAATTTTTTTTCAGCTTTACTGAGATACAATTGACAAAATTATGAAATATTTATAAAGTGTATATCATGGTGATCAATATACATATGCATTCTGAAAAAATTCCCACCATCTAGTTAATTTACACATCCATCACTCATTTATTTATGAGAGCATCTCCAACTTAAATTCAACCAAAAAGAAGCTGATTCTGGAAGGGTGCGGGTACTATCAAAGGTCAGGGTTTGATCTTATTGTCCACAAGTTCCCAGTACAGAAAAACTGTGGAAGAAGGTCTCCAGAAGGCTTCCTTCTGTGAAGCAACATGGGAGTCTTGGCGGACAACAAGCTCCCTGAGCCCCACTTGACAGTGTGAAGGGCTGCTCCTCGGGTGTGCCTGCAGCCCATCACCCGAGCTGCACAGTCTGGGTCCGGGAGCACAGCAACCTGGTCAGGCCCTGTGCTCCTCAGAGGGCCCGTGCAGCATGATGTGCTCTTCTAGAACAGGTGAGACTCTAAAACTCAGCCTATCTCCAATCCAGAAGGCTCTAAACACAACCCAGAGGGAGACTTTCAAACTCAGCAAGTAGAAATAGCTGTTTTCAAATTTGAGATCCAAGAGGCAGAAACGGGACTAGTGAAAGTTACCGCGGGACAGATTCCAGGGCAGCTCATCAGAGACGCCTGCACATCGAACGGGCGGCCTTGCAGAGCAGGTACACCCTGCCCCTCACTCACAAAGGCATCCTGCCGCACGATCTGACATCAGCTGAAACATGAAGTTCCTGCGCTGACCTCATTTGGCAACTTAGATGCTCACGAGGGCTCACCTCCAATGGCTCCGAACAATGGCAGTATAACTTCAGTTATTTTAAACAGCTTCATATTGTACTTAAGTGGGAGAAGTCTCCCAGCTTACATTCTCCCTTTGCCTGTTTCTTACCTAAATGCAACCTCTTCTTCAGTTGAGCTACACCCATCATTTTACATCTCCCAACCTCCCTTCTGACACCGCATGGCAGAGACTTGATCAGTGAATAAATATCTAAGTGCTGGGTTCTGACAATTTTTTTTAATAAAGATCTTTCTCAGATGTCACTCTCGGACATCAGTGCAGAAGTTGCCACTGATGACCACCCTCTCCTCCCATTTGCAGTATACAGCTTCCTCTGGCCACGCAAATGCAACACCTAGCTAGCTTTCTGTGTTTTGCGCAATCACATGTAACTGGGAACAAAATATGTTCCAATATTTTGGAACAAAATACAGTTACCAATAACCTAGTTACCAATAACCTTGGATGGTCATCTCTGAAAATAATAAGCCTTGGGTGAGAAAGTAAATACTGTATTAGCCTTTTATCAGAAAATCTCATACTTTTTTAGTGAATCCTCTCCTTAGCCTACCATCACAACATACACTCTTCCATTTTTATTTAGTTTTTAAAAACTCCTTAGGAAAAGTATAAGAAAAAAAATATGAATTCCAATTTCATACTTCATTGTCACTTTGTTTAAAATAATATGGAAGGAGTGAGGATACATGCCTTACAAGAATGAACCAAACGAGTTATCGTTAAATATTATTGAGGCCACCCCATTTATATATGCAAGCAGAAGATTCAATAGCTCTTACTGAAGAATCCTTAGGCCTGGTGGGTCGACCCAAAACATGACAAGGAGAAGCCTCCAGGGAAATGAGGGGGTGGGACTCAGGACACTGGTGTCTCCTAAGTGAGAGAAAGGGGCATCTCCTGGGATAAAGTGTCCGACTGCCACTGTTCTGGAAAAAAGAAGCCCCAACAGACAGCCGTGGGAGTTCCTGGTGGAAGAGGTGCCACTGGAAAACGGGGGACTTGGGACTTTTCTCTAGAACATGAGTCGGAAGAAAGGAGAAAAGGGACAATTTTAATTTTTAACAGGTATGGCTTGATACATCTTAACCCCACTGCCAGTTTCTCTGCCTCTTTCCTGAGCTTGACCAAGGTCTTTTTATTTTCTTCTACATAAGCTCAGTTCTTTTGAAAAGAAGTATAATGTGGAACTTTTTTTAAAAAGGGACAAAGTACTTTCCCCTGTGACTTTCTTTTGTTTTCCCTGGGCTACACGCACAATAGATAAACTTGAAATCTATTATCTTAACCACATTTGCTGTCCAAACACATCAGATTTAAAAAACAAAATAAACTCAAGGTGGAAGGCACACAGGGGGAAGGGGAAACAGAACACTCACTGCTTCTAGGGCTGGACATGAGGACAATACTCATCCGGTTTCCAAATGACACAAGACATTAGAGACAGTCTTCTTCAGGAAATAAGATTTTAATTAGACACTAAGATACAATTAAATGGACTCTGCAAGCTGATATGCATGACTGGGAGGTGTCTCTAGGCTGGAAAGGTCAAGTGTACCTACAGTGAGAAGCTCCTTCAGGGCAGGAACTAGGTCATCCACTGACATGTCCAGCACATACTGCGTCCAGCAGGTGCAATGACATTACCTTGAGCCATACAGTCTGCTGTGCACTGTGGTGTCACTGGCTGGTGATGGGAACAGGACAAAACCCAGGGTGCCGAATCCTAATTACCAGGGCACTGGACAAGTCGCAGGAGACAGGATAAGGGACCTCTTCCCGGCAACGTAGTATCTGAGCTGACTGTTGAAGGTGATACACAGATGAAGTGAGAGAACATTCCAGCAGAGGAAACCAAGGAGAATGGAGAGAGTTCAAAGGACCAAGAGTTGTTCAGCAAAGCTCAATGAAGCACCTAAAAAGCGATGGGGGGAAGGATGAGAGTGGAGGCCAGAGCCTGGTGGTGAAGTGCCCTGGATACCACACTAAGGACTGGCAGGCCTGGTTATGAAGACCGTGGGAGCCACGGAAGGACTTTATATTGTGGAGGTGCAAGTGACGGGGCTGGGGGACTGTGAGCAGATTACTGCTCTGGAAAGACAGAGGCAGGAACAAGCCTCAGGATTTAACCAAGAATAAAGAACAATGAAGATGTGGGGAAAGGTCAGGAAAAACACTGTTAACACATGTGTACCCTCTCCTCTTGCGCACACATTTCCTTTAAGGGGTTACCACCTTATTCTTTGAAGATGGAGGACTCATAGCAGTCAGTCCTCCAAATGTAGAAATGAGTATTATGAAGAATTATAGACGGCAATACTAATTCGAGACATTTTTAAAATGTATGTTTGGCACATTTTGATACACAGTCATTTTGTGAGTACAAAATAAAAGACTTGTAACTCTAAATCTTATCTGATTTATAACTAAATCTTATCTTCTATTAACAGCAGACCAAAATCAATTTTAATGACTTCAAAAACAAACAAATCATCTGTTACATTCACTTTGGAACAGACCACAGCCACTGGTGCCCCTCAGCATATCTGAAATACAATGTGTAAGCCTAATTCTCGATGGCCGTGTTGTTCCGTAGTAAAAGACTCGGGCCACAACACTAACAGAAGATGTCTGAGCTGATGGAGAACTCCCACGGGGGTTCTTCAACTCCACAGCTGCTCTGTTCTGCAGGAACGACCCCAACCACCAGGAGGAATTTCCTAGGCTCATTCTGTTGGCGTAAGCACACATGAAAAAAATCCTGGCATTTTATATTCAGTAGGAAAAAAATGATCAGAAGTAAGAACATCTTGAATACCAAGCAAATTTAACAGAGCTTTCTTGGTTCCTGGTGGATTATGACTAATGACCACAAATTCAGATTTACTCTTTAAAAATAATCTATATTTTAATCTTCTTAGCAGCAAAAGTTTCAGGAACTTTTCCCTAAACTCCTTAACAACAAAGCAATAGATTCTAGACTCTCTTTTATAAATTAAAGAATTTTTTTATTAGCTCTGGCTGGTGTAGTTCAGTGGATTGGGTACAGGCTGCAATCCAAAATGTTGCCAGTTCGATTCTCAGTCAGGGCACTTGCCTGGGTTGTGGTCCAGGTCCCCAGTGGGAGCCACGTGAGAGGCAACCACACATTGATGTTTCTCTCCCTTTTTCCCTCCCTCCCCCTCTCTCTAAAAATAAATAAATAAAATCTTTAAAAAGTTTTTAGATTAAAAATCGTTTTTCAATTATAGTTTACATTAAATATTATTTTGTATAGTTTCAGGTGTACAACATAATGGTTAGATCCTTATTTCTGAAAATATCTTATTCTGATAAGAAAACCAACCTTGATTTGCCATTTACAATCACCCTGATTTCATAAAAGATGCTTAATTTTAACACCGGAAAATGACAAATATTTTTAGAAAGGGCAGTTCTTTAATTGAATAAATTTAGTTTTATGAAAAAAATACTGTTCTTATTTTTCTCAATAAGCCAAGGCCCGCTCAACATTCCATTTGAGGGGCCTAACCAAGCGTCTTCCAAAATGTTTCCTCACCAACTCATGATGCCTCCCCTCCCCATCCTTGAGGAGGGACCTTCTCGCCATGGAGCTGGTGAGAAGACCAGCTCTCCCCATATGGAGGATTCCCCCTAGCTGAAGAGAACTCAGTAAGCAAGGATCCATTAAATGTGAAAACTGGCAACGCAAGCTCCTTTCCATCCCTGTTCAACCCCACACTTAGGGGAAACGAAGGTCCAGAAAAGAATACAGACTTGCCCAAAGCCGTAAGGCCAAGAGAACTTTAGCCTACTGACGTCCTATCACTGCTCCTCTACTGAGCCAGACAGTCTGCATAACACCACGTACAAGTTAGCCACGTGACTTAAATATGTACACGGCTCTACAGCAGCTCTTACAGATTGTGGAAACCCAACTCTGACAGTAATTTTGAACTGAAGCAATACCATCATCGGAGTCACCTGAAATATAAAAGGTACTATATCAGTCAGTTACAAGGAGCACCTCTGCTCCAGAGAAATTCCATCTCAAGATGACATATTGCACTGCCGACATACATACTAGAAGTCCAAGTTTAAAATGGAAGTTTTGATACAAACTTCACCTTAATCACAACTGCTATGATTAGTATCTGCTCACTACACTGCACTTGACTGACACCAAGATATTTGGACTATTACCAAGGCACAGCGAGAAAGCTTTCCTATGGCAGAATATTCACTTTCGTACTGAAAATGTCGAGAGAAAATCCCCAAGAACCTGGACTACAATGGCAATTAAGTAGCATTCTCCAGCTACCAAAGCTGCTGAGTCTGAAAGACTCCGCTTGGTGCATACTAAATCAGAGGGAAAAAGACACCAGAGAACGAATTCTTGGATCAGCCATTTCTTTATGGAAACAATCTTATCCAGATCAATACTCCATTTCTTCTGTCGCACCGCACACCCTTCAGTACTGATGTGCTTACTTTACGTACTGTATGTATTATGCTGATGTCTAAGAGCACAGTTCTGATTTCATCTCAAGATGCATCCTCCTGGGTAACAGCAAAACGCAGTTGGACTCTGCAACATTGTTTAGTTTTTAAATCTGTTGTAAACTCAGGAAAACATTATCAATAGCTCTTTATACAATACACATTTCCCTATAATCAAAATAGGGCAGCGAATTTATGGGATTTTTTCCTGGGCCCTCCTGTACTCGCCGGCAAATAATTAAAGGCACTAACAAACGAAGGTTCTCTGCATTTGAACGATGACAGTAATTCTTACTTGGTCTAGTAAACAGGCTGGAACTAAGTGGAAAGTGATTTCTTTTTCCAGACATCTCCATGGGAGCTATCCAAGAATGAACTACAGTGTTTTAAACATAACCGCTTAAAGTACACAATTACCGGATTCCGGGAGACGCCAATTTTCCCTTAGCAAAACGCATCCAACCTGATGCAACTAACCAGGTCTCAAGGAAAAGGGACATTTCGCCGGTCTCGGGCTGACCCCCCCTGCGGAGCGGGACGAGGATGGGTAGAGGCGCGAGTCTGTGCTGAAGCTAAGCACGCAGGAGGCCCGGAGTCCGCCGCCCGCGTTCTCGGGGCCCCGGAGCAGCGCTTTCCCGCAGGGGACACGGGGACACGGGGACACGGGACCACGGCGGTGAGGCGGCTGCCCCGGCCTCTCCTGGGGCACAGAGAAAGCAAAATGCGAGTGTTGCGCCCGGCTCGTCGCCTCGGAGAGTACCAGCTGTTAGAGGGACCAATACCAGGCCCCAACACCAGTCATTGGCGGTCCGCAGACCCACGGTCCACCGTTCTGGCAGCGAGTCGGCCCGGGAGCCCAGGGAGGGGCACGGCGCAAGCGCGGGACAAGCTGCGGGGGTCCGGGAGGGAGATGGCGCACGCGCGGGCCCGCCGGGATCTGCGGGGCCGCTGAGGCCTGGCCGTGCAGGCGGCGCTGAGAATACGGACTGGCCCTCCCGAGCTTATTGAAGGGACGAGGCCCTAGCTCTTACCGCGCGGCGCCGCCTCGCTCGCTCGCTGGCTCCGGGCTTGGGCCGGGCGGCGAGGTCGCCCGGTGGCGCGGCCCGAATCCGTTGAGTCCGGCCTCAGCGTACTAGCCAACCCCACGGCGCCGATCGCCGGGCCCGCCCTACCTCCCTCCCAGCCCCCGCCTTCGGTCCGCCCCTTGCCGGCCCCACAAGACTAGCACCGACTGAGCAGGCGCCGTTCAGGCCCCGCCCATTTCCCCCGCCTCGACGCCGGTTACTACAGCACCCCGCCCCCTGCGTTTCTCCTAGTTTTGGGTCGCGCAGGCGCCCTGCTACCCGACCGTCTTGAAAGTGGCTGGGGCAGCCAGTGCGCACGCGTTAAGCCTCGCCCTGAAACTCTAATTCGCAGATTGTCTTGGAGGTGTCCCTGGACGCGAACAGGTGATAGGTGTAGAGCTCCCTTGTTTCAAAGGTTTAACTCAGCTCAAAGGTCCACCATTGCGCATTTACAGTGTGCCAACGTGAGCTAGATAGTGAGGATGCAAACATGCAAGTGCTGCCTTCGTGGCGCTCCTGGTGAATCAGGGAACACTAATAAAAGTGAGCCACAAAAAAAATATCAGGCTAAATATAATTTATCAACTTAAGGAAGTTCAGTTAGGTTACAGTTGTACAGGTTTTTTTTCCTTTGATAGTTTGAAATACATTAGTAGATTTTTATTACATCATCTTAGTTTCCTAGGAAAAGGACAACTTGCTTGGTATTGATATATTTTTAATACATTGCTAGACCAGTTGCTAATATCTTATGTAGCATTTTTACCTATTTACCCATAAGTGGGACTGTGTTATACTTTTGCTTTCTTGTACAGTCCTTGTATGCTTTAGGATTATGCTTGTAATAAATACACAGTAAGTCGATGCTTTCTTTATCTGGATGCTTGTATATAAGATAAGAATTTTCTGTTCTTATTCATGTTTACTGAACTTGCCTGTGAAATCATCCAGGTTTACTGTTTTTCATTGGTTTTGTTGGTTGTGAAGTCTTTGAGGGGATAGGATGCAGATTTTTAAAAAATACTTTTTATTTATTTATTTTTAGAGAGAGGGGAAGGGAAGGAGAAAGAGTGGGAGAGAAACATCAATGTGTGTTTGCCTCTCATATGTCCCCTACTGGGGACCTGGCCTGCAACCCAGGCATGTGCCCTGACTGGGAATCCAACCAAGGACCCTTTACTTCATAGGCCTGTGTTCAATCCACTGAGCTACACAAGCCAGGGCAGGAGGCAGATTTTTAAAAAAGTGTTTCATTCGTTCTTTATTGCTTCTGGGTCTAGACAGAATTTCTGTTTTTCCCTGTCATT